ATCCGAGTCGACGAGGAGGCAGACCCTCACCCTCCCACCCCCCTACGAACCAACGTTTCTTCAAAACGCAGTGAACCGATTTCCAATGATATATTATGTGGCACTCAGTGTGGCCTGATAGTGTTTCAAAACGAGGCGAGGACGCAGACGCCCGCAGCTACTGTGTCTGAACTCAGGAGGAAAACAAGCAATGTGAAGAATGAGAAAGACCAGTGTTGGAAGAAGTATTTAGGTCCTTTAGTTAAGTGATAGTACTACTAATTATCTGTAAAAAATACTCTGGTACAAGTTGTCCTGAAATTAAAATGTTCCCTTGTTAAAAGAAAGGATAATCACAGAAATTAACTCAAAGTATTATGTTTATATAAAAGTATCCAATGCAGAACATTATAAAAATCACCACAATTCTTTCTTTAATTAAATGTGATCATTCTTAAAGGTTTAAAGATGGCAATTAATTTCCCCCTGATTTGATAATTGATTATTTGTCCAATTGTCCAGATAAAATTATAATTTATAACAAAGCATCATTTGTATTTATATATTAGATATTTTTTTTTATAAACTTTCATTTGACAATATGTAACTAATGTCCAATAACTGCAGCTCCAAAATAAAAGTAGCAAAGTAAAAACTAGGATATTTCCCTTCAAATGTTGGTGTTGAAGCATTATGAAAGAAAATACTCAAGTATTTCAGTTTTGTGATTAAGTACAGTACTTTGACTGTTATATTTGATCTGCCTTTGTTAACGTTTCTGTGTTATACTATTATAATGTTTTTTTTATTTTTCAAAAATGGTGTGTCCTTCACTGTTGTTGTTTGTAGTGACTTGTCTGTTTTATTATAAAATAAAAGGTAGTGGATAATTTCTTATTTTTCATGTCTACTGATTGGATTGATTCAGGATTGTTTTTGTGGTGTTGCTTTTATCTAATGTTTTATTTGAAAACCCAAAAAAAAGAAGCATTAAATGTAGAACATTTAAAAAAACATTAGTACCATAATGGGTTTGGAAAAAATGATACGGAACTTTGGAAAAAAGGAGAATATTATTATCATTTTCCAAGGAGAAGCAAGCTTCCTCGACATCCCATGTGGAAACAACAAACTCACATGTTCATTTGTGTTCAACTTGAATCCATTGCAAGACAGTCAAAAATAGAGAAGGGAAAAAGAGCTTCAGACAGTTCTTTCTAAACATAACGACTGACGTGACATTTGGTGTGTCAGTGGTGCCGAATGACCAACATCACATGGTTGAACTCAGACCCTTACACTTTTGCATAACAGAAGCTCATTGTGGGGAATGTGTGTGTGACATTCCAACTAAGTGGTGTCAAATAATATTAAGTCAATAATCCACATCTACCCAAAATACATTAAGTAATTTCCGTTCTTTTTATACTTTTTTAGATGACAGACAGTAAGGTATCAAGCATTTGTATTGGGCGTGTTGCATACTTTTGAGAAAAAGTTGATACTGTAGCATTAACAGTGAAATGTCCACAAACTGTGCCACTAATGACATAGAATACATGTTAGCGGTTACCATAATACAGAAAAATGCATGCTACTCATACAGGAGCTTGCAGAATGAAAACGGAATACTTTTCCATGATCCAATGCCAATCTCCCAAAGCAGACGTCAAGATTATACCAGCTTTACATCAAACTGGATCTCTCCATTGTTATTTTTAGGAAGAAATTAGATGTGTGGCTTTGGTTAAAGTATACATAAGCATTACATCAACCTCTGACTCAAAATATAACTTTGGAGCTATTAAGATACTTTTTTTGGACATTATAAGCCCATATAGGGAGGCGTGTGGCGCAGTGGGTTATTGCGCTGATCGTGCTGGACTTTGAATAAGGACATAGCAAGTTCGAGTCCCACTGCAGTCAGCATGTCGTTGTGTCCCTGGGCAAGACACTTCACCCCAAATTGCTCCTGTGGGGATTGTCCACAGTATTGAGTATGTAAGTCGCTTTGGATAAAAAGCATCTAACAAGTAACATGTAATGTAATAAATGTCCTCCAGTTATAAATAACGAACAATAAACTATGCAATTAGTCAGAAGTAACACTTCCATAAACGAGTCAGTTGATCAGATTTTAACCAGGCTAAAATTAAGTTTGTTGTGGTTAGAGCATAACATTATAATCCATTATTTACTCCTCATGGATGCAACTTGATGTGTAATAATACAACTATGCTCACTTTATTTGTTACCAAACCACATAACAGTTTAGTTTGCTGCCTTTCCCTTTGAATAATGATAATGTATTAGTAATGATGCTGAAGATTGGACTAAAAAAACAACATGTGAAGGTGTCACATCGTGCTTGATATAATTGTTTCTAACTATTTTTATAAAACAATGTATTGACAGAAGTATCATTAATTGAATCTATATTGAAAATATTCACTCGTTAATAGCTTAAAATGAGCTCCCCCTTAACCATCTACCACGGTAAAATCCTGCTTTCACATTAATGCATGACTAATAATAATCTAATGATACCATATATACATAGTCAGATCGGATATTTTTATACTATCAAAAGTCTAACCATATATTCCTGATTATAGTTACATCATTTTAATGAAGGAATATCTCAAATGCAGAGCTCTGTTAAGAGTACTTTAACACTGTGGTATTAGTACTTTAACTGTATTAATGAATCCGAATACTTTCTCCATCACTGCTTTACGGTCTATTATGTCATGTACAAACTAAAATAGCGTTAAATAAATGTAACTGAATACAAAACTGCACACGATCCATCAGAATGAACGGTAGTACATTTAAACTAAGTCCTTTTTTAACTGAAGGCCCCTGAAAATATAATAAAAGACACTCGTATTTGGACATGTTTTCCGATTTCTGCGGAAAACCCCAACTAAAACAAATGAACAGCTCTTACATTCCAAGTCAGATATATTATTTAAGCCGTTTGGTTGTAATGTTTTAGTGTTCTATACTTATCTGTCTGGGGCTTTAACTTGCTTTCGATCAATTCATTTCCTGCCTCTTTGTTATTGCTTGGCACCAAGAGACCAAGGCAAATTCCTGTACGTGAAAACCCAAAGTCGCTTGGCAATAAATTCAGATTCTGTCACCAAGTTTGAAACCCCCCTATAACAGCTAACTTTGGTTAGCTTAGCATTAAAGCGTCCTAACAGCTAGCTGAATGTAGCATCACTTACCGCGGCTTATTGTGGTTCCTCTCCGGAACGAAAAATAACTGGTAGGAGCGGGCTAGCGAGCCTCTATCCTCATAGCCCGGGTCTTTTCCTCTCTGCAGACAATCAACACAAATGTTGCTCCATTTTCACTGAAGTCCCGACGGTGAATTTCATTAACGGTCTCTAAATAACACCGCTAGTTTAGCTGGTTCAAATAGGAGCTTGCCTTGTCCTCTCCTATGATACTAGCCGTAGCTAATTAGCTAGCTTAGCTTCGATAGCTTGGAAGCTAACGTTAACATTAGCTGTTCTCCGGGGTGTGGCTGTGGTTTCTCTGCGGTGCCCCACTTCCAAGCATGCTGTCTCGTTACACCTCACGTTTTTTTAGAAATATACTCTTAAAATCTGACTTAATATATGCGCCCCATACCGAGGTCGGGCTTTTTTTTGTTCTTTGCTAAATACAAGATGGAACAGACTAGTGGGGCGGGACTCAAGTGGTGACCGGAAACTGTTTTGTTCTATTTCCTGTGAAAAAAAATTATTTTCTAAGAACACTCTTTTAACGTGGGATATATTTAATAATGTTAAATTTAGCACTTATTTATTCGGTTGTATTTCATTAGATCCACATTAGCCATAACATGTGAACACCAAAATATGCAGGTGGGAATGTACATTTGAATAAATATATGTATATACAGTACCAGGGTTGGGTAAACTTTGAAATATTGTCACTTATCATGTACGAATATCCTGCAAATATCTGTAATAAGTAACATAATACTTTAGATGAACAAATATGAAATGCAATCTGAGAACATTTCACAGCATAGGGACGAGATTATGTGACAAATAAAAACGAAAAAACCCTTCAAAAACAATATGTTCATTGTCCGTAGTCAATTAAGCAGTGGGAGAACGTAATTAGGTACATTTACATAAGTAACACACTTTTATTTATACTGTTTTATTTGTATTTAATACATATTAAATGTACCTTTGCCAGCTGCAACATTAAAACTATTAACACAATTATCATAATCTAATACTACATTATCCTACAATGGTCAATGTTGTGTTACCAGTAGTTTTATTTTGGGTACTTCCTATATTGTAATGGTAATACTTTAATACTTACTCTTATATTTAGTATGTCTACAAAAAAAGGTGTTTTTTCAAGGGATATTTATTTATTATTTTTATGCAACTAAAACATCCCATAATCTGTTATATTAGCTGCAACATTGTTAAAGCCAATGGGAATCATTTTAATTTAAATCTGGCAGTAATGACTACAGATGGTCAGAAAACTATCCACCATCTTGGATCTTTGTTTGGTTCAGGTAAAACAGTCCTGCAATAAATAACTTTTAGGAGGCAGCATCTGTGATATCTTTTCAAACTTTTTTCTAAGATTCAAACCATAAACCAAAATAACACCAAAAATATTTATATTTAGGTTTCATCTTTATTGCAATGACAGCAAGACAGATGAAAAGTACATTGAACTGGAACATATAATCCAAAACATCTTAAATTAATTATAAAAACATATTAAAATGAGCTATAAAGTTACTGTTGTAATTGAAACAGTCCCAGTGATAACAGGGTCCACATCAAGGAGCAATTCTCAGGCCACCTCCTTGATGTTAGGCCCTTGGGAGTCAAGCAAGTCAGAGATTAAAAGTACATTCAAATGGAATATATATAAACAAAACATTACCATCTTAATTTAATGATAAACACATGTTAAAATAAGCTATACATGTTACAGTGTAATTGAAACAGTGATAAGAGTCCATATTATTTTTAGTCCACCTCCTCGATGGTGGGCCCCTGGGAGCCGGCACCGGCCTGCTCTCCACAGCTGCCTGCAGGCATTCCTCCCTGGTACAGCTTGCTGATGATGGGGTTGCACACTTTCTCCAGCTCTTTCTGCTTGTGTTCATACTCCTCTTTCTCAGCCAGCTGGTTGTCCTCCAGCCAGGTGATGGTCTCCTCACACTTCTCCATCAGCTTCTTCTGGTCCTCCTCACTCATTTTGCCCTTCAGGTTGTCGTCCTGCACAGTGCTCTTCATGTTGAAGACGTAGGACTCCAGGGAGTTCTTGGCAGAGATTTTTTCCCTCTGAATGTCATCCTCAGCTTTGTATTTGTCTGCGTCCTGCACCATCCTCTCGATTTCCTCTTTGCTCAGTCGGCCCTTATCGTTGGTGATGGTGATCTTGTTCTCTTTGCCGGTGCTTTTGTCCACCGCAGACACGTTCAAAATGCCATTGGCGTCCACGTCGAAGGTGACCTCGATCTGCGGGACCCCTCGTGGAGCGGGTGGGATTCCTGTCAGCTCAAACTTGCCCAGCAGGTTGTTGTCCTTGGTCATGGCTCTTTCTCCTTCGTAGACCTGTATGAGGACCCCGGGCTGGTTGTCAGCGTAGGTGGTGAAGACCTGGGTTTGTTTTGTGGGGATGGTGGTGTTGCGTTTAATCAGAGATGTCATGACTCCTCCAGCTGTCTCGATACCAAGGGACAGAGGTGCCACGTCCAGTAGCAGCAGGTCCTGAACGTTGCCCGAGGTATCTCCTGAGAGAATGGCCGCCTGGACGGCAGCCCCGTAAGCCACCGCCTCATCTGGGTTGATGCTCTTGTTCAGCTCCCTGCCGTTGAAGAAATCCTGCAGGAGTTTCTGGACTTTGGGGACTCGAGTGGAGCCTCCAACCAGGACGATGTCATGGATTTGTGCCTTGTCCATTTTGGCGTCCCTCAGGGCTTTCTCCACAGGTTCCAACGTTCCCCTGAAGAGGTCGGAGCACAGCTCCTCAAATCGCGCCCTGGTGATGGAGGTGTAAAAGTCGACGCCCTCGCACAGAGAATCGATCTCAATGCTGGCCTGGGAGCTGGAGGACAGCGTTCTCTTGGCCCTCTCACAAGCTGTGCGCAGCCGCCTCAAAGCTCTCTTGTTCTGGCTGATGTCCTTCTTGTGTTTCCTCTTGAACTCCTCCATAAAGTGGTTGACCATGCGGTTGTCAAAGTCTTCTCCACCCAAGTGAGTGTCTCCAGCCGTAGATTTTACCTCAAAGATGCCGTCTTCAATGGTCAGGATGGACACGTCGAAGGTGCCTCCACCCAGGTCAAAGATCAGGACGTTTCGTTCTCCCGACTTGATTTTGTCCAGGCCGTAAGCGATGGCGGCTGCCGTCGGCTCGTTGATGATCCTCAGGACATTCAGTCCTGCGATGACACCTGCGTCTTTGGTGGCCTGTCGCTGGGAGTCGTTGAAGTACGCTGGGACTGTGACGACTGCATTGGACACAGTTTGGCCAAGGTACGCCTCAGCAATTTCCTTCATCTTTACCAGGACCATGGAGGAAATTTCCTCAGGGTAGAAGGTTTTGTCTTCCCCTTTGTATTCCACTTTTATTTTGGGCTTCCCTCCATCCCCAACCACCGCGAAGGGCCAGTGCTTCATATCTGCCTCCACCACTGGATCATCAATCTTTCTACCAATCAGTCTCTTTGCATCAAACACCGTGTTGCTAGGGTTCAAAGCCACCTGGTTCTTTGCTGCGTCCCCGATGAGCCTCTCGGTGTCAGTGAAAGCCACATAGCTGGGGGTGGTCCTGTTGCCCTGGTCGTTGGCGATGATTTCTACTTTTCCGTGCTGGAAAACACCCACGCAAGAGTAGGTGGTGCCCAGGTCAATGCCGATCGCTACACCTTTAGCTGCAGACATCTTTGTTGATGTTAATTTTTGTCCTAAAGATGCAGATACAAAATATAAATGGTAAGGTAAATTAGAAAAGTAGATACATACAACAACTATTATTACATTATGAATTACATCTTGCCCAGCCTGAATTATCTATTTAATATCCTACTTAGAGTTGTTTATTTTATGGACAGGTCAAATGAATGATTAAACATGTGTGTATAACTAACAACTAAAAAAGGTAGACTAACTCTAATTGCCTATTTCAAAGCAGAATGTTTTTCAGTGTCACTTCATTCATTAGACCACAAATTAAAAATACATTTGAAGATTCTTTAGATCAGGGGTGTCAAACTCAATTTCATCGTGGGCCACATTAGCATTATGGTTGCACTCAAAGGTCTGGTTGTAACTATATAAATACATAATATATATGAAATAATGTATTATATTATAGCCTCTGCATTGGATAGGGTAATTCCTTCATAATTAATAACTATGTCTGAAAGCAGAAGTCTAGGGCAAATAATTGCAAGTCTCTTCAGTGCGCATGTCACAAAATGAGATGTATTGTGGGACATTATGGGCAACTGCTTCTGTGAGATAAGAAAGGACTTTATTAATCGCCGTGGGGAAAAGTTCAGTAGTTTAACAGCAACAGGGTAAGATTGAAAAAACAGGAATAGCACAGATTCACACAGATAAATAAAAGTAATGGGATAAAAGTAAGGATAAATAAATTAAACATATATAGATATACTGTAAAGTGGCATGTAACCGTATAATAACTGTATTATATTCTTTGCAAGCTCTTGCGGGACACATAAAATGAAGTCGCAGGCCAGATTTGGCCCCCGGGCCTCGAGTTTGACACCCCTGCTTTAGATAGACTTTGGTAGTTCATTCTTCAATAGAAAAAGCTATATAATGGTATGTCAAAGATTACAGAACATTCACAGGAAATGTGAAGGTCATAGGGCTAAATCAACAAATAATTTAACATAGCAGGTTTTTTCAAATACTTTGCATTATTCAACCTTTAAAACTGAAACATATCATTCGGTAGGCTGGGAGCAAACTCAATTCCTATATCTTTTCCTTTATATTTTTGTTAAATCATCATTTAATATAACACTGCTTTAAAAATGAGATATCAAAAATGTAACTGGGGCCCTCTTCATTAATGGAAGCCTAACATTTACCGTAATTCTGAGGGAGTTTGGTGTAACTGTTATCCAGTAGGAGAAATCTCTTAAACAGCCGTTTAATCCAACGTAGGAAAGTTCTATAATTTGCACATCATTGTAAAAAAAACAAAAAACGATGTATTAAAGTCAATGTGCAAAAATAATAACATAAATTAAACTATAAACGAAAATGATTATAGCAGAAGTAAGTCTAAAATGTGCAGTTTTTCTAAGGGAGTTTGGTGAATATGTCCCTGTATGGCAACGTTTACCGTAGCTACATTTAACTCATCGACATTTAACTATGTCATTTTCACATAATTTTAAGGATAACACATTATTTATGGCATAGCCGTTTTGAAAAACTCCCATTTAAACTGTTACAGAAAACAGAAGAAGCGTACTTACTTTGAATGAAAGATGAGGATAAGGCGATCAAATAGAAAGATGATGTCACGTAATGTGGCTTCTTACTCGGTATTCTGGATGTCTCAATGCCGGAAACCGCAAATGTCACCTATTTATAGTTTCCTCACTACCTTCTGGTCCTTTCTCGAGCTTTCCGCTTTGGACAAATCACAGAGCTCCGCGTGGGTGACTTGCGTGATGACGTATGCTTGGAAGCTTCTACAAGCTACTTCTGGATGAATGGAGAAACCGCTAGAACCATTTATACATTTTAATAGCAAATTAAAACATGCAGTCTAAATAAAAATAATCCCAGTTACCCAGACCAACCGAATGTACCCAATAAAAACGGAAACGTGTGTAGACTAACACATATGTAGACACAATTTACAAATCATAATTTTAACGCTAGTTTCATAATATTGTGTTTAAATTCAAGGTGTAGGAAATTAAAGAAATACATGGGTGGTATAGACACATCCTATTATACAATTGGTAAGCAAAGCTTTTGTGTATCATCAAGAGGTCGTTTTTTTTTTTAAATATGTGGTTGTTCCCATGTTTTTGTTCTACCAAAGTGCAACGTTTTAGATATGCAGTGGCCTTAATCTCTTTGTTTGTTCATAATTTTGTACAGAAATATTCACAAACTTTGTATTGACGTTCATTTAAAAATATAGTTGAAGAATTTGAGGTCTGTGAGGTATTTAACAAAAAGGAAAGGGAGCAGGATGATTCATGTATAATGGTTGAATTAATCTGTTGTTTTGCTCCTCGGTTTAGTTTGAGTTAATTAAACATAAATGTTTTGGTTCATGATGTAAATATTAAAGCTGTTAAAACAAGGTTTATTTTCCAAAGTGTCTTTCTCGATATTACCACCAGATGACGCCAAAGGAAGACGTTTTCAAATGAGTGAACAAGGAAGGAATTCATATAAGGGAGCCTCAGCCAATCAGAGCCGGAGCTCTTGAGACTCGTGGAGGGAGCAGGAGTAGATTTAGGCCCATTCCCAAACCGTCCCCTACACCCTACCCGGGGTAGGGGTAGGGTGTAGGGTGTAGGGGTAGGGTAGGGTGTAGGGGGCGGTTTGGGAATGGGCCTAAATCTACCCCTCCGTTTGCGCGTTCAAGCGGAGGGTCCGCCATATTGAGGGCTGTTCCAAACCAAGCGGCAAACTCTGGGGAAGAGCCAGGACGCCAATACGGAAGTGCTACATACTGCATTTCATATATTGGCCGATAGGCGATGGCTGCAAAAAGGAGCAATTTCCATAGACCCCATGTTAAAATGCCCAATTTTACAGCAGAAAAAAACATGTTTCTACCCCTGGCTCCATAAATGTTATTATCGATATAGTTAGATTCCACCTTCATGATTATGAATCTGTAAGTTAATTGTATTCTAACATGATCCTTTTATTTATATTAGGTCTTGAAGTTTTTGCATAAATTAGGGCATGGTCACATTGAGTGACAGCTCTGTCAAGTGACTGCTATTGCTAGCTTCTTGTCTCTGCTAGCTGCTCCGTGAAACACAACTTGAAGCCGGCCGTGGTTGTTTGTTCTTCATGCTTATATATCGGGCTATTGTGACTCGCTCTGCGGTTAAAACAGACGGTGCATGAATGCGGTTTTGCGGTAAGTGAAATTCGAGTGCTTTATTTATGTGTTAATGATTTTAATCGACGTAATGAATGTTAAGGCTAAGCGAGTGGTAGCTACATCGGTGCTAACGATGCTAATCGTAGCCTCCAAGTTAAAATCATAGACTGTATATATAAAGGTTAAAACGAAATAGAGAAGTGTTAAAGAGCAACTTCCAGGTTAAAGAAACCTGTGAATAAATGTGTAGGAAAATGATGAATACACTAGATTTTCAAAAAAATATACAGAAATATACACTACAGTGACATCTGGCGTCGTTTTTGTAAGAAATGTTCACTTCCGCATAAAAAAGCCTCGGCACGTGACCTCCCGCGTGTGACGTAACACGGGGGACACAAGGGGGAGAGCGGCCGGTTTAACGTATTAATAAACATGTATCCCAATGCTAGTTTCGACACAGAAGACACAGAAGAAGTTGAACATGAATATTCAAATGCATATGACGGACCACAACCTTATAATTATGAGCCTGCTAGGCGTCCAAGAGACCAGGAGCAGCCAAGGATTAGAAGAAATAACGGCCATCGGAGAGAAATTGAGCTGTGGTGTGAGGAGAACCAGTGGAGAACTGGGCAGCTATCTTGGTGAGTGTCCGGCGTTAGCTACAGAT